AGTTGAATAGCATTGGTTACTTGTCGATGTTCAAGATCACGACAGAGCTGTCGCCTTGCAATAGGACATGTACCGATGGCAAATACTGGGTCAGGCATTGGACGAGAAAGGTTTGCTTTCTTGATGAATACATAACGCAGTAGAAGATGCGATATTTGCTTCTCAGACCAGTGCAAATAAACTCGATGATTAGAAAGCCACAACTTTATCAAGTTTAGTATTTGTTTGTACAATTGCTCACGAACCAATTCAGTTTCGACTAGTCCCCGATTCTGATCGCTTTTATAGCATGGCGAACTTGGCAGTATCCGTTCAGTCGTTGGTATTGTGGGACCAGACGTACTTTTGATAGCTATTATCGTTGCTTTTTTGGTATCCATCCTAAAAATCAAATACGTTAGAGTACCGTTTTATTTGCCGACCTCATGATTGAAATTTTGCCATATGACGTGTAAATGTGTTCAACTGAATCTGAAATTCAATATTATCATGACAAAAGTAATTTATAGAGAAATGATTATTTTGTTCCTTTCTTTTTTTGATAACTGCTCGAATTCCATCAATCGTTTCGTATGCGAGATTGTACGGACAGAAACTATAAGTAATCCGTGAAACAATATGACTTTTCTCAAATCCGTAATGACACAAACTTTGACATAATGTTGTAATTCATCATTTACTTCATATTCAGATTCATCATATTGTTGAGGAGCTATTGAAAAACGTCATGATCAACTGCAGTAACATATGTATGAAAGTGAAGGCGGTCAATGCTCATTCGGCATATATTTCTAGTGTTCCCTGAAGCATTTCTACTTCATCGTTGTGAAATAATCCGAACCGTCACCTCCACTAGATATGTTTGCGAAAATTATCTGCTTGATGCTCTTTTACCTCATGAAAGATAACTCTGCGCCCAGCATTATCTTATCACTATTTTTTGTTTCTCGTGTGCATACCGAGAGAAAAAAGTCGTCATCAAACATGGAGCACGGGATTGTTTTCGCAGAAATTTGAAAACGTACTTTTGATAAAGAGGATATCAGAGGTGTGGGTGTAGGTGTATGTATGAATTTGTGAGTGATCGACAAAGAATAATTCACGCCCGAAGAGAACGGACGAATTGACGCTACCCAAAAGTGGTTATGGTGAATTTAATGATGAACGAAATATAGCATAAAGAATGTTCACGACCAATATTTTTTACAAGAACTGATTGAAAAGAATTTTTTATGTGACGAAAAAGAAAGGAAATATCCGACAAAAAATTGTGCTAAATTCTACCAAATAAATGTCATAAAATTGTTGAAAGAATAAAGTGAAGAAAGCGTTCAATAGATGTTCTCATATTTCAAACTTGTATTTTTTGAAAGTTTCAAAATAAAAAAAAGAAGACTAATTTGTAGTACAAAAACATATCTTTGAAATCGTCTCAAATTTCATCATTCATCGTGATTCTTTTGTGTATCCAAATAAATCGTTATAAACCGTTAATATTTCCACAGAGGAAGTTTTTGGACAATTTTATAATAAAATTCAACTTGAATAATTAAATTATATAAATAAAGTCTTTTCTCTTCATTTAGATCAATATTAATATCAAAGAAAGAATATGTTAAGAAGACAAAAATCTTTTGTTCTGATTATATACAGTAGATAGGAAGAAGAAAAAGATCTCTCTCCTTCTTCATGAGAAACTTCTATGATAGTACAAAGATAAGAGACCGCCATATACCACTCATCGATGAATAGCTGAAGACTACAATTATGTTCGACAATCGTCAACGTAGTTTGACAAATCATGATTTTCTGAAAAATCAGGAAATAGTCAGTTGCTTTAATTGAAAGGACCTCACAATTAATCTACCTTTAGAAATGATAATGTAATAGTCGATTTTCACGCGATTACGTATGTTGCATTTAAGGTTATAAATTAACTTTTTGGATTTTTTTTATCCATATTTAATACAGAGAATAGTAAAAATACTGAACACATTGAAACAAACAAAAAACTGACTTGTATTCTCCTAAATAATATTCTCCACAATAGAATAAGACCTATCATTTTTGCTAATAATACTCAGATTTTCACGAGACGCAAGTTTCTCGCATTTCACGTATTTGCGCTTTTCATTATTCGGCACATCCTAAAACGATGCATTTTCCGAAATTTCTGAAATTATGAAGGCATGAGTGTGGATATGAACGTAGATGGAAGGAAAACTCACGTTCACATCGCACTCACACTATGTAAATCAGTTCACTTTTGATTCCTGTCCATACGGTGATGGCATTTGATAAATAATCGAACGTTAGAATAAACACGTTCATCTTGCGATGATACGAGCAAAATTCTTCAATGGTTCTATTCAAAGTGTTTTTTGCTCTTACGTTCGTGTATACTTGCTGTGCTAGCCTTTCCTTTTATATACAACCTCAAGACGAGCAAAGCTGAAAAAATAACGACCACGTTTAGTAGTCGCTCCTCTGTAGTGACTATGATGCGAGCATTTTTTTCTTTCCTTGCGTCTTTCTTTCTCTCATCCCTGTATGTCTTTCGTTCTCAACGAACTTGCAGTTATAAATATTTCGTCCGTAGTAATACACGTTTTTTTTTGTTGCCGTGCATGATGTGCTTTTGCATCATAGAAGGCCTTCCTTTTTTTTGGTGAGACATAGAATATTCGCCTTGTGATGAGAAGAATAGTGAGAATTCTTATGAACTTCTACCGGTCTCTTTTTCGTACTTTTGACAAACAAGTGAGTGGAATAAGGAATGTAGACTTGCAGAGGACAGTTTTATTCGTTGATTCTCTAGTGATTTTTTTTTGCTATTCATATACATCAATATTTACACATAGTATTGCAACCGTTCCGTTAAGTCTCTTTGAAAATGCATATTTTCTTATGCTTTGATGATTAATTATTTTAGACGATTAAACCAAAGTCAATACTTTAGTACGTCATTAGTAAAACAAAAACTATATTAGGACATTTGTGTTTGTTTGGAAAAATTGTGATATAGAAACGACATGTCGATTGCTGATGTTCAAGCCTTAATTGGTCACGATGTGATTCTACTTGTTGGATCACCGTTATCGGGCAAGGGTACGCAAGGAAAACTTCTTGCCAAAGCCCTTGATCGGCCATACGTATCATCCGGAGATCTCTTTCGTGATGAAGTTGCAAGTGGAAGTGCACTGGGTCAGCAGATAAAAACTTACATGGATTCTGGTGAGTTAATTCCTAACGATCTTACAACAACATTTCTCACTACCAAATTAAGCGATTCAATTTATCACAAAGGCATGATCTTAGACGGTTATCCTCGTAACATATCTCACCTTCCTATCCTTGAGAACATATTGACAAAGTTGAATCAACGCATCTTCATAGCAATCTATTTGGATGTATCCAAGGAGCAGCTCAACAAACGTCGTGCGCAGCGTGGTCGAACTGATGATGATGCTGATACTTTTGAACGTCGATACGCAGTCTTTCAAGAAGAAACATTGCCTCTGATTGACGTACTCAAATCAAGAAATCAACTTATCAAGATCGAGTGCCATTCTAAATCTTCTGCCGAAATCAATCAACAAATACTTTCAGAGTTGATATCTCTGTGTAAATAGTCTAAAACTTTGATTCAGTTAGACAATAACTAATCCAAGCAAAAAATATATCTGATTTTACATGCATGTGTCTTCATGAACTTTGATAGATTTTTCGATGCTCCCGTAGTTTTTGATACATTTATCAGACGATAGGAATGTTGCCAGATACATGTATCATCATTAATTGACCAAACTATCTAATAATTATGCGTTTAGAAACTATTTTAATGCGAACATAGTAATATAAAACATGAAAGAAAAAGCATTTTTGACGAACTTGTCAAAAACCTTACCTGGAAATCGAATTAGAGTATTCAAGATTTCTTAACTCTTTTGTTCGTTACACCACCTAATAAAAATTATAACGACTGGTCTGATGATCTCCTTGGTATGTTTTTTGCCTACATACATTCCAATGAAATTAGTATAGCTTCTATGTGCTACTGGAAAATGATTCAAAACATGTTTTAAGTTTGTAAGAAAAAAAAATTCATCCAGCATAGTTCAACCGATGAGATGAAGATCACTTAGTTCTTTTAAAAAATAGCAGGCAATCTTCGTCGAATACATCACGAATCGAATCTACCTACGTCGTTCATCAAGTGATGGATACAGTCATTCAATTATTCAAGTAATGTGACCAATAGGCATTAATACTCATGCATGCTAACAAGCATCACACAAAGTTGCTACTGCTTTAATGAACACATGACGTTCAAAGGACAGAACTATCGAATTTTTGATGTTTATTCGTCAGATGTCTCTTTGAAAAAAAGATCATGTTTTCGTTTTCGAGTTGTTGAGTGTCTCTAGTTCGAGTTGCCTCTTTCGATTTGTTCTTTAGTAAGCTGAACATAAATATAATATATACTCTGATTACTATGATAAGATTTCAACTGAATTCAAATTATTTGAACATCAGTATTACAAATTTGTAGCGAAAAAGTAGCATGATTATTTAAATCTATAGTTCAACGATGTTCATGACAATAAAAGTGTGTCTGAGGATGTGAGCACGGACATGAAATAACTGGACGCCAAGATAATGCAAAGATAATGGAATGAAAGTATTAAAAGAAACAAGTTTATATTTTCACAATTATTAATCAAATTCATATAAAACAAAATAACATCAAACTATAAGTTGAGTTCTAACGAAAAATATATTTCAAAGAAAAATAGTCGTAAAAATAACTATTCTATATAATATTCACATCAGTCTCAACTTCATGAGTTTTTACATTCAATCTTAAAAATTGCTTGTCATATTCTATCATATTACTGTAGAAGATATTGCGAAATGATAGGCAGCTTAGAAAGTTCTTAAGAAATGATCGAAAATTACGATTGTGTCTTGATTTTTTTAGTTTTTGGTTTGATTGAATATTAGATTAAAGTGAACTTTTGCACTCTGTTGTAGCCATACATAACTACATACAGATCACCATTTTTTTGATCCACAGCTAAACTCCCGAAATTTTCTAGAGCGTCATATGCAGGTTTAAAACCCATATAAATACGTTCCCATTCGTCAGAATTATATGGATTATCGATTGCATTTTGCATAATACTAATTTCTTCTCCAAATGCATTATAAATTCTTAATGAGGATTCAGTGTCAAGTGCATATAGATTGCCATAACAATCACCAAAAATTCCAAATGTAGGCACTTTTGTCTTGAATATTGTTTCTCCACCTTGTTCATCTTTTGATACTTTTCGTACTCGATTATCTTTAAGATCAGTTGCAAACAAATTCATATTGAAATCAATATAAATATCAGATGCTCCCATTGGTAAAGATCCAGAAATATCTGGTTCACCAAATACTCTTTTAAATATTGACTCTTTATATGTTGGTGCTAACCATATCTGTAGATTACCTCCCTGTGCTGTATAAATATTTAAATCTTTATCAATGGAAACACATGACCATCGACCAAATTGTCTTATTAGTTGTGTTCCATTTAATGATGACGATGACCAACTGATAATCATTTCATATCTATTTCAATCTTCTTGATAAGTATAAAGTAGGTCATTTTTATCAATAAATATTTGTTTTAAGGAAGAAGCTTTAGGATATCGGTCAATACCTTGTCCATTAACAACTTCTGCATGTTTTGAATTAGCATAATATTTTAAAACACGACTGTTTCCTGAATCTAACACATAGAGATTACTCGTACTGTCCAATGCTATACTGATGGGCTTATCTAATTCATCGACACTCAATCTTTGTGATCCAATTCCAGCAACAATTATTTTACTGGCATTATATCTAGGAATTTTTGGAAGTTGACATGCTGTTGGTTTTATTATACTATCAGGGCCTGAAATACAAAAAACAAAAAGTTTTCGATAATATTATTTGTATGACGAAGCTATTTTAATCATTACGGATAAACCTCGTTCTTTCTCTATAGTAATTGATTAGGAACTTAAGGTAAAACTATGTCAAGGTGCCTGTAATAGCCTACGAATAAGGATAATAAGGGAAGTTCTTTTTTTTTGCTATATATTTTAACACTCGTTAATTTAACAAATCGTACATACTATAAACAATCATGAGTGAAATACCACTGCAAGTATGTCTACTATGCTAAAATATGTTGAACGAATTCTTGGAGATTTTATTGAAAAGAAATATGAATAAAATGTGAAATTCAGTAAGGGACAATATGAGTATTTATTCCTAATCGAAAAATTGGTATTCGATATTTTATAAAAAAAAAACAAGATTCTTTCCTATGATGACATAATACTTCAGGTGCTCATGCACTAAGACGATCGAAAAGTAAATTCAGTATACTATAAAGTCTGTTTTATCAAACATTATCATTGATTATCATGGATGACACTCCCTTCACATTAATATCAGTGACGATAGTAGGTGACTAGATCAAATTAAATAATTAATAGACAACGTAAAATGGTTTAATAGTATTTCATTTTAGGAAACTCGAATCTAAAACAAATAAATAGCTTTGTCTACTATCTTACAGAAAATAATTTTATTTTTGATCTTTTTTCACTGTCACAAATCGTCTTTGAGAGTTTTTTAAAAATTCGAAAAATGATATGTCAATAAAAACATTCTTAGAATTTGATTTTCTTACCAGTGGACGTACTGCATATATCAATACTAAGCGTTGAAGTACTATTGAAAATTAATGAAGTATGCGTAACTGTCGTTGAAGTGCTGTTGAAGTATAAAGAAGTAGCTTCAAAATAAAAAATAATTACAAAGCTTAACCACTTTCAGAAACTTTCTATGACATCCTTTCGAATCTATCGAATCATATATGAACAATGTTGAGTTCAGAAAATTTTTTCATAAGAGTATCAGAGATGATACTGCTAAAAGTGAAATTTTTAAAAATTTTACTTGTTTACAGTTGTATATGAAGCTACTTTTTTCAATATGTAAGTGAGTTGTTATAAAAAAAAGTAGTTTAGTTAGAATCGTGAACAATAATACTATGTAACTGTTGACTATTGATTAATGCACAGAGAAAAATACAAAAGTTTTTATTTTTTTTATTTTTCTTGCAAATAACTGTGTTTTTTCTTTTTGTTTCATCCGACTGAATAAAGCGTAAAAAGGGATACTAATTTAGAAAGAAAGAAGTATTATATTAGCATCATTCGAATACGTTACCATCGTTGGAGAGGATGGACGGTCGGAGAAATATAACAACTGATTGGTTCACAGATTTCGATAACTGAATAGTACTAATATTACCTCTTAATTCATCAGATTTGAGAAACTATGTCACGAATGCATACACGCAGACTATTTCTATTATGTTTTTGGGTCATGTTCAATCACATTTCTGCTGTTTCAATTAGAGTCGATCGGGATCTATTAGTAAAGCACACTTAGGAATAATATATCGATATATTTGTCAATATTTAACCGTTAACTTTACAATATCGTTCGATACATAAATTGTAATTAATAAACGGAATGCGATTTATATTAGCCTGAACTCCTTACTCTCATAACTGGTCTCCAGAATGTCCTCTTATCAGACTGTTGTTGTTGTAAAAATTATTCAAACGATTCCTATGAACTCAAAGAAGAAAACATGCTATCTGATTAGTTTTCTATTTTTTTTGTTGGATACAAAAAATATATCAGTCAACTGATTGTACAAATCAACAATGAAAGAAGAGAGAGAAATTAGTGAAAATATTCATCAATATTATCGTAGAGTGAAATCAATAAAGATTAAAAAGTGATGGCATGATCTGTGAATGACTTCATCATATAAAGTACTTTGCTCGCTAAAATTCGCAAATATTACTACATTATCTTCAAATCCTTGACTTAGTAATTCTCTAATTATTTGAGCGAAATTTTGAAATTTGTATGCTCTCAAATTTCTATTGAAAAACTTTTGAACTTAATTTTCTACAGAGTATGAAATCACATAATTATTACCTGTTGTTGACCAGTGTTCATGACTTTCCGAAGATGATATATGTGGTATTGTTGTAGTTTTTATAATCAAATTTGTAGTTGGCGATAGCACTTGCTTTTTCCTCATCAAAACATACATAGACGTACTCAAAATTGATATAGCGAACAAGACTATTAAGCTTATACCAATTCGTCGAATAATTTTATTCCAATCCATTCGATCATGTCCATCAGTTGCAATAAGAGCAGGATTGCTCTGTGTTTCATTCTGTGGAACGTCTAGGTCATCGAAATCCATTTATAAAACGTTAAAATACAATGCGCAAACAGGTTTTGGATATATTCAATCGATCGTATTTACTATGTATGTGTCATCCAAATGAGTAGTCATGCGAGAAATGAATATTGGTACTGGTTTTTAAACTATTTTTCTTTTCTCCATTCCTAATTAATGAATGTTAGTTACCTATGATAACAACAAACACCTGAAGCATATTTTCTTTTTACAAGCAAATACATTTTCTTAACAAATGAGTCGTACTTCCGACATAAAAAAATATTATACTTTCATACTTTGTTTAAATATCAGTAATTTTATCATTGAAAGATTTTTTTTCAACAGATGTACTGTTTGTTGAGAGAGTGAGATTGCAGATAATAACTCGATTTTGTTAGAATCTTATTTAACGATAAATATGACTTTTTTAAATCTCGTTCTGTTTAGGACACTCCTATAACTGTGACTGTTTAGACTGAAAAATTTATTTCAAATATCTAAAAGTATTACTCATAAATCAAATGGTCGACTCTTATTTTTAGCTTTCTAGTCGGAGCTTATAGGATTCAAATGATCATAAACTAGCTCTTTGAGTCAAGGTTAAATGAAGATTGTAGATTGAATGATAAAGCCCTATGAACACAGACGATTTACTCAAAAACTACTGACATTCTCTTAGGAATTATTTTTGACTAAATCAAGTCTCGTCGTTTTTTGATATTCTATTTGTGATAAAAATTTTAATATAATCAATTGTATTCTTGATGAGAACGAGAAACAGTCAAAATAAAGAGAAGAAAGGAAATATCTTAAAAACAACTCTATTCTATTTCCAACTTTAAATAGACATAGATTGTGCAGAAAGTTTATACTTTTACAGTACTTTAAGTTTTATAGTAACAAACCTTTTACTAGATGATTAATAATAATTTGATGTACATAACTGATAACGAACTAGATAGAAAAATTGACATAAAAACATATTACTATAAACTTCGCATAGTTGTACGAAAGAAAATACTGCACAAAAATCAGCAGAAAAAAAACGACATTGTCGAAACTTTCACGAGATGACTTTTCACATGCCAATTATTATTTTGATCGAATAATAATTAACGATACATTTTTTTTTAAAAATAACAAATTTTTTTCTAATAGAAACTTCTTCCTATAAAAAGAAAATATAACAGGTGACATATTTCTTTGTAAGTCTTCTTATAGGATATTTGACATGGGTAATTCGAATAGTGAAAATGTAACTAGTGAACAAACGACATGTAATACTGTGAAATCAACAGACTCTATTCCACGTCGTTGTCATCATACGTTTGTTAACAATGAACCTATTGAACCAATTACAATTATTTGGTTGGATCCTCATGCAAAAGAAGATATTGTTGAATCATTAGATACAAGGTCATTACTATTAAAAATCAATAATAAAAAGGATTGTTTATTTTTTGATGAAATTCAACAATGTGTAAGTGCAATTAAAAAAATAGTTGATGAACAGAAAGCATTATTAATTGTTACGTCTAGATCATTTGCTAGTGAAATTCTACTACAAATGAAAACAATAAAATACAATATTTCTACAATTATATTTTGTGAAAATTATAATCTATATTTTCATTTCAAACTTAAATGGAAAAATGTTATAGATATTTGTACAGAATATGAAAAATTAAGAGATTCAATAGAAAAAGAATTAGTATACTTAAAATCAAATTTATTAAATAGCCCATCATTGAAATTAATGAGACCATTGAATTCATCAAATGATTTTTCTATAAATAGTACTTATTTTTCATATGCTGTTTATATTGAATTAATCAAACAAATGCCACAAACAAAAATTTCAATGAATAATATGTTAAAAAGATGTAGAGACTATTATCGTGATAATAAACAACAGATTGAAATGATTGAAGAATTTGGAAAAACATACACATCGAATAACGCAATCGATTGGTACGTCAAAGAATCTTTTCTTTATAAAGTAGTTAATCGAGCTTTTCGAACAGAAGATATAACATTATGGTATTTATTTCGTACTTATATTACTGATCTATGTAAACAATTGGAACAAGTTCATAAAGAACAAAATATTCAAACAAATTTAAAACTTTATCGTGGTCAATCTTGTATATCAACAGATGAATTAGAATATTTGAAATCAAATATTGGTGGTTTATTTGCAACAAATGGATTTCTTTCCACATCAAAAGATTTTATTATTGCTGAATCATTTTTTGGTGGTGCTGCCAATACTGATCACGTTAAACCTGTTATTTTTGAAATAACTGTCGATGGATCTAATCTTCAGAATACGATTTTTGTTGATATTGAAAGATTTAATGTTATGTATCTTGAAGCGGAAGTCTTATTTAATATGAATTCAATTTTTAAAATTGAAAATATTTATTATAATGAGAATTTAGAAGTACATATAATTCAGATGAAAGCAACTGATGAAGTAATGGATAAGATAACAGGACAAATTGAAAAAATGAAAAAAAGAATATCAAAATGGTAATATGAAGGGACTGTTCACATTCTAAGTAGAAGTCATTATTGAGGAGAGAAAAGATCATCACAAATTAATACTGGATGAGAAATAGACTATTTCAGACAATATTATGATGAAAATTGTTACAATACAAATTGTTGATTGGATCATAATGTTGCACATCTTCGTTGAGACTATCTTACATATCACAAATAGCCGCCTATTTTTTTCGATTATGCACGAAGAGCATTCTGAAGATACGGTCGCTTATATTTTTCTCTAGTTAAGTCTCTCAATAAAAAGCAAAGATATGAATTAACATTCCGCCGAACTAAATTAAGAGTCATGAAAGCAAACAGTGATCTTTCTTTTTTTCTTTCCTATTGTAATATAGACGAGTAGCCGGAATTTGGCCAATAAGACTTGTCAATTGCGAAAGTAGAGTTTACTTTCGAAAGTTATTACGAAGCAATATTGATATGGGATACATATGACGAATGAAGCTAACATTATTAGAGCATATATACGTATCATACCTTACACACATTAATAGAAGAGCTTATTAATTTGTTCATTATCTCATTTTGGATTGCATAATGACTTGTTCGCATTCACAATTTAGGCTTAGTGTTGCTCTAAAGACTTTGACTTTTATTTGTTGTCAGAAGCTTTCTAGCTTTATTAAGAAATGCTAATGCTACTGTTCAACATGTTATATACCGTTCTCAACAGATTCCATATGTTCCATTTGACCATCTTGCCCACTGACGTATTTGACTCTTGTATATGTTATTAAAGTGAGGCGTATAACTGTCAGAACAATATAGATTGAAGTCACTTTCTCATCGATCAGTAAACTAGAGACACCTGCTATTGGAAAAATAGATTAAACTGTAAGAAAAAGTTCTTGACAGGATGCAAAAAAAAGAAAATCTTCCGACTATTACACGCAGAATTACGGGCAATATTTGCTCCTCACTGTTGCACACATAGGTAATGACAAGCATTATCTCAGACGATGTATCGACAAGGTTTCGTTCTAAAACAAGTGTTTTGATAAAGTCATAAATGAGAAAATGATCGAAATGTGATGACGTAATAAGTCAATCATATCAAATCTGGTATTCGGCAGGTTGTTACTCGATATGAATGAATATGAGAAAGCTGAATCTTATTTTCAAAGATTATTACAAGTTTTGCCAGTCAAACATGCAGATCGAGCTTCAATCTATGATTATATGGGAACTCTAAATATGCGTATAATTAATTGGAAAGAAGCATTAAAAAATTTTAATTTAGCATATGAAATTAAAAAGAAAGAATTACATTCAAATCATCGAAAAATAGGTCGAACATTAAATGGTATTGGTAATTATTATAAAGTAATTGGAGATTATTTTCAAGCAATGATATTTTATGAAAAAGCTTTACAATGTCAAAATGATCTATGTGCTAAAGCTGTAATTCAACTTAATATCGGTGTCATACATTCGATGAATAAAGACTATGATCGAGCACTTAAATTTTATTTTGAAGCGCGTCATATTCTTGAACAAATTCATCCATGTCCACATGAAGAAATAGCTCAATGTCAGGCTATTATTGGTAATCATTATTTAACTTTAAAAGATTATAATACAGCCGAAGCTTATTTTCATGCAACGTTTGAAATTAGTAAAAGAATTTTACTGAATGGTGATCATATTCGAATTGAATCTGTAAAATTATTAGCTGATTAATATAATAAGCGAGGGAAAAAACAGGAAGCTATTAATTTTTGTTATGAACAATTATCTTTCTATGAAAAAGAGCCGTGTAATAATGAGATTAGTATTGCAAATATTTTAATAACTATTGGCGAGTTATACGAAGATAATAATGATCAAAAGATACAAGTCATGGATAAAGCATTATCTCTATTAAAGAAAAATATGCATATTCAATATGCTACAACAGCTAATTGTTCTTTTATGATTGCAGAATATTGTTATAAACAAACTATCAGTGAAAAAGCGTACGATCATGCTATGAGAGCCCTTGAAATACGAAAGAAAATTTATCCAGATGATCATTCGATTCTAATCGAGACACAAGGTCTGATTGATGCTATTAAATCTTTAAAATAAATAATAAATATATATTTAATGTAATATTTTCCTAAACTTTCACAGTTTATGTATTGATTACATCTCAAATACTTAAATGTGCCTTATATTCACTGTAGAACTTTCAAGAGGTAAAACTAGCATATCTGTTGAGGCATTTATAGTATGATCCTCATGACAGGAAGAGTAGAAGAAATTAATAATAACACTTGTTAAAATCAACAATTGATAATACTATGTGAAAATTGCCATCATACTACGATTTATAAGCGATTTTCGTGACTCATTTCTGGTTTAAACGTTGTGCACGATAAATTGAGAAAAAGAATTGCAATTTTTTTTGACATGGAGATCTACACTTTTCTTTGTTTTATTCTTGTAATTGATAACAAAAAACGTAACACATAGGGAGACCAACAATAAAGACAACTCATCATAAAAATGTAAATCATATAGAGAATCATATACACTTGATAGACAGGTAACTCTATCTGAACTGAACGAAGCTTGAAAACTGTCAATGTTCCACAAGGATGTACACCTATATGTTCATGAATAATTTTAATACGATGACGGGAGCGAAATATTGGTGAATAGGTGCATGTATGTCGGAATACAACTTCAGATGCGTACACTTTTGGACAATGCCAACGACGAGAAAATATTACCATATTTGTATCGAGCTCGAGCGCAGATCCAAAATCACCGTGAAATCGTTCTGCACTTTCTACTTTATAACCAACTTTATGCACAAGAATTGATAGAACAGATTGATCAAAACGATGTATAGTCGACGAACGTGAAGTTATTGGAGCAATGCAATCAACATTCAAGGAACACGCCACGAATGGCATCAAAATATCTTTATAAAAACCAGAATGATTTGTTATAAAACCTAAAATGCCTCCTGCAGTTTGATAATAAACACCTGTGCTGAACTCATTTTTACTCGTATTCAATGCTGTAAATGTTTGCTCATCAGTATGATCAATAATTAATGTTTTTTGTTGTGTAAGAAAATAACCATGTGTTCGGATTGTTTCTATAATTGGATCTAGTGATGAACGTAATTCGGTGCCAGCATCGAGGTAGAGAATAATTTTTGTCATCGATCTATATTTTTCAAATACTTCTTTTAATAGTAGTGCTTTGTAAGCAAATAAATCTAGATCTGCTACGTGAGAGGGATAGATCTCATATGGAAATGGCTCTATTTTAATATTGGTCATGCATGATATCCAAGAGAGTTGTGTATCAGTCATACCAAGATCGAAGACAAGAATCGATATGTGAGGTTCATGAAAATGTATCGATCCGATAAGATTTTCTAGTCTATCGACAAACTGTGCTGAAGATGCTGTTACTAGTATAAAATCATGACGATTTGTTGCATTTGAAAATATTGACGGATGATTATTGAGTTTGGAAACGAAATTTCGATCGTGTGGACGCTTGATAGGCATCAGTAAAGAGCTGAGTGATGGTTTCAAAAGAATGTAATAAGTGACAGTAACAAATACGATATAAATACCAAATGTCACCAAAACGAATGGTGTACAACGATTATATACGAAACGACTTTTAATGAAATGAAAAATTCGTAAACGATAGAAGCATGTACTTCGAATTCTCTTGAAAAAATTCATTAAACAAAATTAAGGTTGAAACTCCAATTACTTGTTGGTGCTTTGATTGTTTAACATTTTTGCTAAAAGTAATGTAATCATCAAAAATAACTCGATAAAATATGACTACACGTGACACATACACAAACCTATGTTTCGGTCTTTTACTTTCCTGTCATACTTTCCTTTTTCTACTTGATAGTCAAATGGCAAGGCTGTAATTTGTATATTCATAGATGCAGTTGCCAGCTAGTGCAATACTCTTATCTACAAATATCAACAAAAAAAAAAAAAAGACATACTAGTGTAAGACTTTTATCAACATATTTTGATTTTCATCTGTAAGAATATAAGTAAAATTTAAAATTTAATATATGTTCCTATGATTCAAAATTAATCTTATAAACCACTTATAACAAGATAGTTAGACGATTAAATTCTTATAAGAATTCATTTAAATTATTCTTCAACCAACCCAGATCTATGAAACATAGTGGTTCTCTCGAAGAATACACTTAATTCAAAAAGCTAAACGTTTACTAACATGTAAAAATATACGACAAAATTATATTCTACCTGAAAGTAGCTTGTATAAGTACTACGCGTTCTGTGAAAGTAACATATATATTAAGGAAGTATGTAATTAGAAAGCATGCTAAAATATATTTATTAATTTTTTTTTTCTACTCTTGTCTTTTTATCAGAATGAGAAAAATATCAGTCACACACTCATTTGAGTCATTTTTATTTTTTATGTTCTTATAGTCTAATGCTGAAATAAGTTTACACGTAGCTTTTTTTTTTGCATGGTTGAGATCAAACTATAATGAAAAATAAATTTGATAAAATTATTTAAACATGTTCACTAAGAATATACTCTCTTAATAAGATAGGTTCATTAAATACAATAAACTTTAAATAAGAACATAAATGTTACTTTTAAATATGATTATATTTTCTATGTCTGTTTAACATTTTATATTCGAGAAATACAAAAAAAAAAATCAAAGTAGACCATAAATTCATGAAATATTATATATAGAGAAATTTATCAATTATATCTGCCTGTAACAATTTGCTTTATCTGTGCTGACGCGATTAGACAAACTAAAAGAAGAAAGACAGTCTTTATTTTGCTCTAAGAAGTCAACAAACATTCGCTTTCGATTCTTCAGGCATTTTTAGATTCCTCAACACTCATCGAAGTTTGGAGTACTTCAGAGAAGAAACATATGAAACGCATAATATCGACTGCTTCAGTAGAAGCAAGTCGAGCAGAATAATAGTTGTAAGTAATGAAATTAATTTTACTTTCGTGAAAATTATTCAAAAAGTGATGGATTCATGTCTCTTTCATTCCGATATCCAAATAGGGTGATTTATCTTCGACATATATTTTCTTTAATTTCATACTTTTCTAAACAATATTTAACATTAACTGGCTAGAAAAATAATAAGATTGGAATTTATAAGCGTCTTCGATGAAAAATACAGTCATAACGAGTTTTGCGTTTTGAATACTTGAAAGAATTTTTTTTAATATTAATTTTATACTTTATCACACGAATCAATCATTCCTCAAAATAGCTCCTTATATGGCATCTGAAACTCAAAAAAGCCTTTTCTATAGTTACAGGCACGCAAAAGATATTTTTATTCGATGAAAAAATTATTTTTTAATTTTCGAAAACTATTACCAAATATTTACATAACAATCTTGAAAATACTATCCTTCTAAGAAATGACAAGATAACTTTCATAGAAGAATAATAGTTCCTGTGAAGTTTAGACCTTCGAATCTCTTCGTCCGTGTTTGTTCGATAGGTTTCAACGACTCGAGAATGAGGTATCTATAGGAAAAATTCTTTTTATTTTGATCAAATTTTGATCTCCTTTGTAACATTAGTTCAGTTGGTCGAAATGTCTATCGGATAACCGGTTGAATAAAGTTCAAATAATACACAACTGAACAAAATAGAATTTAAAAGAAAAAACCGACGAAAAGGTACAGATTTCAGCATGTTTACCAATATGAAATATTTTCTGAGAATTATCATGTAAAAATATTACAATTTTTCTGAACTAAGTTATTTGATATACTGAATTAATCTAAATCGATAACGATTGATAACATCTTAAAGCATTCTGTCAAGTGAGCTCGAACAAATAAAATTGATCAAAAAAAAACATTTCTTCATTGCATTGTCTCCATTATAAAAGTAAAACATTGACTGATGCAAAATATATTAAATTAATTGTACAATCGAAAAGGAGAAACAATGAAATGAAATATTCTCAGCTTTCATGCATAACCTATGTGTTTGCCTAGTTTGAGCGACAAACATAAATAAATCCTTATATTGCAATCGATTCTATTCAATGCGTATAGTTTGTTCACTTGCAAGATGATTAAAAAACGTAGTTAATTGTTCGCCGTATTACTGTTAAACTTTTATTCCCTAACATTACTGAACTATAATATATGTCCAATCGTACATTGGTTTTTTTGCTCTGTTTTTTGATTGTGTTATCTTCACAACTTTCAATACTGATTCATGTCAATTCGACAAGATAATCATTTCAAGAGCTGTAAGAAAAGTCGATTGTCAAACAGATCATCAATAGATCTTTAATGTAATAAGAAATAGATAATAACAACTGGCATAATCTCGTACATATAAGGAGAAAAACCTAGCCGGACATGTTCAAGAATATTCTTTTATAATTGTATAGAATTCATTTTTCATTCTGAAAAAAAAATCAGAGAATTTTAACGCGTTTCTTAGAGAGCTTTTGTTTTACTTCTCGAATTCCCGCTTATTTTCCAACATTATCGAGAAACACACGTAACAGTATTGAAAAAGTATTTCTACCTAGATCAAGTTCATGATGAGGCACGCCATAACATATTTTACGACGAATGCTCATAGCATCCGTTGTGTCATACGTAGAGGAAACTCATTTTGTACGATATCTATGATTTCTGAGAAAATTGCGACTTCGTATACTGCTCGGTAAAAAATTACTTTGTGAACCTTGTAAGACGTCTGTATCAATCCTATAAGAACTAACGCAGATGAAACTGCGAAGACGATATGGACACAATGGATTATGATGTAGATTATAGTTAATATTACCAAATAGGATACATTCGTGACTGTGAAGTTTGATTCCATCATATCATTGATTGAAGACTAGAACCAGTGATGAAGTCGAGTTGACGTTGGAGAGTTGTTTCGTTACATAAATTCTCAGCCAAAACGCAATTTATAATGTTCGATAATATCAGTGGCAAAAGAAAGACGACAATGTAATAACTTCTAATAGAAGAGATGTTAGTTGGGAGGGAACTGCGTTATTCTCTTCCTTCATATCATCAATTGCATCAGAATACATACAAAAGGGAAAAATGTGTTTTGATCACCAAATTTTTTGACTGTGAAATGATCATCAAACAATTAGTGTTTTGATCACCAAGTTAATTAAGACATGAGTAAATTGAAGTGGCATGATGTGACTGTGGGTATCCGATGTGAGGAAAAGTTTAAAACTCAGGTTGGAACCGATAATTTCGTTACTAAAGATCGATAAAATTGATCAAATAGCAGTAACAAGTCAAATGGATTAGAAAAATAAATCTGTAAATCAGAGAAAAAAACCAGCTGATAAAATCAAAATACAAATAGATTGGAACAGGGCTGATTTATTCGACTTTTAACAACGGAATAAGCGATTTTGTTCTAATTTTAAATTCTTTTACACAGAATTTATATTATCTTCATCAAGAAGCCCACGCTCACCCTCACTCTCATTCTCATTTTCAACATTATGTTAACTCTTCCACTCTAATTGATACATGCCTTGATTAATTTTGGTGATCAAAACACTAATTGTTTGGTGATCAAAACTCAACTTTTCGGTGATCAAAAAAATGCTGACCCCATACAAAACATATGTGTATATATAACTCGAAAAAAGAAACAAAAGACAGAGAGCACGAGAGGAAGGAAGAAAAGAATATCAAGAGAAAGAAAGGAGAAGATATGTAGAGTAGGATAGATGTGTTGGTGTTTTAACAGTGAATGATGTACGAGTCAACAGTATATACGGTAATGCAGGAAGAAAGAAGAACAAGAAATATCAAATGAAGGTTAAAATATCATGTATGAACAATCGATATAACCATAAAGTGACTTTATGTAATCACACACAATTATCTCGATCGGAAACATCACAGACGGTCAATGCCGGCACGTCATTGTTGTTGTGCGTTGATTTAGTTCTATGTGCAGCTTCTGCTGTCCGTAGTGTATTTCTATTATGGTTGAAGTAAATATATATATACAGGGTGATTCAAAAGTCTTGGTGCCTCTCAGAAAAGTTACTGTTTCTCCCTTATTACAAATCCAAAAACCCTCAAACTTTGGCATTTAATTTATTGGAACCAGATGAATATTACTCTAAGTATTCGTATCTCTAGTCTG